CCGCGAGGATCAACGGGAGCCGCCGGGACAGCCGGGCGAAGGTGCTCGTGGCCAGCACCGTCGTCGCCCGCAGGAGGCCCAGGACCAGCGACAGCACCGCGTGGTGGGCGGCAGGGGCCGCGACGGTGAACTCCAGGCCGTCGATCAGGGCCTCCTTCAGGGACGGGTAGACCGCGTTGAGCAGGGGGGTCAGCCCGAGCTGGCGATCCAGCAGGGCCGCGAGGTCGACGCACGGCTCGCACAGCCGGTCCAGGGCGAGCGAAGGCTCCCAGGCTAAAATCGCCCGGGCGTGGGTTTCGGCCAAAGGGAATGCCTCCGGAAAGGCGCTTCGGGCCTGGACCTCGAAGGGGTTGGCCTCCGGGGTCTCCATTAGATCGTTGGACTTCGCTGTCTTGTTGAGATCCTTTAATAAATCCTTTTTTTATTATTATTCTTCCACACGGTTCGCCCGAGTGAGAGAAGATAAGAAGCTGAGGCAAGCGTTTGAGGGTAAAATAAATCACCTTTACCGAAGTGATGATTGGTAAGATTTGATTAATACTAAATGTGCGCAACGTAAAAAAAAAAGAACTATCGATAATAGAAATATATTTTTAAAAAAGTAAAGAAATAATAGCAATATTAATAATAAAAGGCCACTTGTCAGGTCAAGTTGAGAAAGGAACCGAATAACTAACACCCCATAATGGAAAACCGCTCTCGAAACTGAGAATATCATTCCACCTCCGTCATCCTTTACAGCGATAATGTTTTTGAAAAAAAAGAAAGGCCGATCTCGTTCACTCGTCGTCAAAATCCAACCTCGACGCTCGCACGGTTAAAATAAAAATACAAACTAAATCCCTCTCAGTAAAAAAAAAAATAGAAAAATGATTAAAAGCAGGTTATGGGGATCGACCTCTTTTTTCCGCATTAGGATCGCGCTTTCGGGAAAGATCTGAGGAGCTCCTCCGCGCCAGGGATGTGCGGGGCGATTTTTTCCGCTGTCTGCCGCATCTCCAGCGGGGCGGCATTAGTGATATCCGGCATCCTTCGATCGCGATAGGCGGTGCCGTCGTAGTCCATTTTTTGCATTTTATCCTTGTAAAAGCGCGCCTTGGCGGCCGCGCGTTCCCAGGTCCCCTCGACATCCTCCGCGTCGAAGCCGTCCGCGTGATCGCACGCGGGGTCGCCCGCGGTGGCGTCTTGAATTTTTTTTTTGAGGTAATTATCGTCAATGGGCCCCCCGGCGTCCCCAAGAGCCTTCATCTCGCGCAAAATCCCCTGCGTGCGGATAAATCGATCTTTGTGGGCTTCGTAATCCCCGCGAAGTTCCCCGATCGCGGCGTCGAAACTCCGCGGCGGGGGTTGGCCGTCCGCGCGGAGTAAATCCCCCCCAAGAA